TATAACGTGGGCATCCCAGTCCTACAGTATCTTAACCTGCATGTTGATATAACAATTGACATAGAACCCAGCCTGGTATTAAGTAGCAAGATCAAAATATTGTCTTTTTTTCCTCTACAATATCCTTAGCACTGTTCCATGTCATATAGCAGCTGCTCAGTACATATTTATTGAAGGAATGAAGTGGGTATTTTAAAGATCATATTTTCACCTCTTTTGTTACCCTATATTTTCACTGCTAGTCTGTTGTGAATTTTGCCTGTGACATGAGGTAAATGTGGAAGGGGAAAATTAAAGTGAGTAATATTAACAAAAACCAGTAGAGTCACCTTCCTCTGAATAGCAATCGAAAGTAGCCAAAGAGCATTCTGAGCGTGGCCCCGGTAGGCACAGGGCAGCAGAGATGGTCTGACTAAAGACTGGTCCCCTTCATCTCCAGGAAGCAAAGCCACGACCGATGCTGGCCAATTGGCCAGCACTTTTCATATCCTCAGGGTCCATCACAGGCACCCAGGAAACGTCAGTAAAAGATCCAATGAGCCCAGATTCTCCAAGAACAAAGCACTTAATCTTGACACGGTTAGAAAGCCAGTGACTATAAGCTCTCCCTCTTGTACCTCCTGCTCTTTCACATCTCAGCTCAGACATGACGACCTCAGGCCCTCAATAGTCCATATGGGATGCACGGATGTCCCACGGCCCCCGGTACCCTCCCATCCCAGGGTCCCTCACACCACCTCAGGATGCCTGTGGTTTAAGTTCCGTGTACCATCAGAGACCATGCCTGTCCTTTTGCTGCTGATGCCAGCTCCACAATATGACAAAGGAAGGAGGGAAGGAGTGAGGAAAAGAAAAACAGGAAGGGAGGGAGGGGGCAGGATTTGGTCAGCCATGGAGTGAAGAGATGTTCGGAGTACCGCTTCCTTCTGAAAGAGCAGCTATAATGCTAACATCTTCATGGACTAGGAAAAGCCCTCTTTTTATGAATCAGAAACAGAAATCTCCCAAAGCTGTCATGGACCAACCCTGTACACCCGCAGACACTAGAAGCGAGAGGCGACAGCCGGGTGGAGTTTACAGAATGCTTTGCCACGTCCCACAAAATGCTTAGGAAAAAGCCTGCGTGAGTGTGTTTCCGATAAGTTTCTCCAAGCCGGGCCGTGAACGTTGTCAGTAATACTTGCGCTTCCACTGTGTGCGGAGGGCAGACTCAGATGCTCAGCTCTGAATGTCCCCTTTACACGTTGTCTTTTAACTCTTTCGTTCCCAGGATCAAATGTTCCCAGCTAAGTCCACTAATGACAACAGGAATCATCACCAAAACCGCAAACAGAAGCATCTTCAGAAGGGGATGGGAAAAAACAAGAGCCAGTTACTAGCACATCTGGCCAAGAGGTACTGAGATATCAGGGATGCCTACAACTCGTTTTCATTAAAGTTGTTTTAAAAATGTTTTCCAAGATATATGCCAGAATAGAGTTGGAGAGAAATGAGAAACCTAAGTATGAATTTTCTCTTTGACGACCAACCAAAGTAGCAAAGAGGCCTCTCCTCGGTGTTTTCTTTGCCTCACTGGTGGCCCTCACAACACCGTCCGACCTTACAGCCGGCGTCCACGAACCTGCCGAGTACGAGCTGGTGCAGCGCCGAGACGTAGAACACACACACACGTGAAGAACACTCGTCATCATTTCTTTCCAGAGAAAATTATAGAAGAGGCCGTTTCTCATTTCTGCACGCTCCCCCCGGTGAAGAAGACGTCACAAGAAAAATTCTTCTGAAGACCTAAGGGAGGCGGCTGCCAAGGGGCGGGGCAGGTAGAGCGGGGAGCCACGTGCGGCGCGGCTCTCGCCCGCAGTCAGGCCCGCCCTCCACACCCAAAGCCCGGAACGCAGGGCTACTTACTGACCGACACGTAATTCCTCCCACCCCACCTGCAACAATAAAGTATCAATTTTCAAATGTGAAATGTCTATGGATGCCTGTGGGTATTACATCGCGTGTATCACACACACACACACACACACACACGCAGACAGGGGCTTGGCGAACGCATCTTTTGAATCCATCTGGCGTATTCCCCGACCCCCGCCGCTTCATTGCTCTTTCATGCAAGTGACCACAAACAGTGGATCTAAATCCGGCACATTTCGAGGTCAAACGATGCAGCAAACAGAATTTGACCTCGGACAATATGCCTCTGTCCACTCACCATCCACGTCAACGTGCGTACACACTGCGTTTTGCTTGATGCAAGTTCATCAATCTTTATCCCAGAAGCTTCCGCGCTCCCTCATCTAACGCTTACAGAAAAGAAAGGACATCTGGATGCGTCTCTTCCCCCCCATCATCGCCACAAACCCCCTCGTCCCTCAACACACACGCAACAGCTGTAAGAGCAAGGAGATCGTGTTTTTAAAATTCCATCGGTTCACGTAGGCACAGAATCGGAAGCAGCTCCAACATGGACATCAAGTAAAAAATACCAGTTTTCCAAAGTCTGTAATTATGTATTTACACAAATTACATAATCCTTTATGTATTTACATACAATTACAGATTATCAAGTAAATAACACAATGTTGTGTTAATGAGATGAAATCGAATGAAAACCATAAACGGAAGCCGTCCACTTATCCACAGAACAGGACCTGGCAGGGGCAGGTGCCCCAAGGTGACCTGGCACGTCGGCACCGCCTGGGGACATTCTCATGACAGATGGGGGGGTGGGTCAGTCCGTGCCTGTTAAGTCTGTGACCAAGGTGCAGTGTTGGCACAAACGACATAGCGGTTTGGCTGGCCGGGCTTGTGTTTGTGAAAACTGGACCCATCATTCCACAGAGGTTTGAGCAGCCAGCCACAGCCTTGGGTCCCTTATGACAAGAACCAGTTGCAAAGCCAGGAGCTGGGGGCGACTCGCTCTGCAGCCCAGCAGGACAGCGCCCGCAACAAAACCCTGAGCCATCTACTCTCCCAGAACACTTATGGACAGAAATTGCATAAGTCAGTATTTATTTATTTACAGACCATTACAGTTTATCATATCAATTGCCAAAAGCATATAACATTTTGTTTTTCTTTTTTTAAAAAAAAAAAGTAACCAAAACAAAATAACTCCAAAAGTCGACGTTAAAGTAGCATTTTCTAGGAATGCTTGGAGAGTTTAGTCTTTTTCACAAATCGTTTTCTTTCTTTTAGGCTGATTAATCTAGCATCTCATGCTACTTTAAGATTACTTTTGGCTATTTCCTAAAATCAATTTCTTCGGTGCTAAATATTGTACCTCTGACATCCTAGAAACTTGATTCTTCCCTGTGATCAGATGTTTAATGTTTTTCAGTCAACAAGATTAAATGCCTTTTGGAAAAACTAAAGCCTGAATATGTGCACATTTTAGCAGCAGCAAAGGGTTAAATAATAAATAAGAATACTACCTCTTGGAATTAAATGCAGTTTCCGTTAAGAAAGTTTTAAAAAAAAGAAACAAGAAAATAAATGAAGAGGACATTCTGACTTTTACCACAAATCAGCTATTTTACATTGCTTCTGTCCCCTCCCCCCCCGCCCAGCATATTTCTTAATTCCGAATGTTGGACTTAGTTTTTCTTTAATGCACATCCACAGGAGGCCCTGTCCTTTCTGCCCTTTGGACCAGAGATGGGCCCCCGCGCTCATGACAACCAGCCAGGCGCTTCTACTTCGAAACAGCTTTGACCCACCAGTGGCACACTTCTATTTTTCACAGAGAATGTGCATCAGAGCAAAACAAAGTTGGAATATTAAATTTTAACATTAGTTACATAAATCCCAACACATTTTTTAACTGTCACTTTCCATTTCCCACACAAATGGCTAGAAAGTGTTATAGGTGGTATGAGAATTTGTTATAAATTTCTTTTTCTTAAATATTGCTTTAAGAATTTGGCTCTTTTCTCCTTAGTATATAGTAAGAAATAGTCTCCCTTGCCCAAGGGCAAGTTTCAAAATTATTGCTACTAAACAAATATGTATTCTTATGCTGTTCAGCATCAAATGTTATAAAAGCCTTGTAAAAGATAACCTATAGAGTAACCTCCCCTCTAAAAAAACTGAGTGCTTGTGAAGACCATTTTAAAAAACAAAACACAGTCAACAAATATATACTTTCCCCCTCATTGTCATGATCGATGGAGAGTTATGTTGCATTTTGCAAGTTTTACTTGAAGGGTGCTTTCACCAGGTATCAGGACAGGTCACACCGAGAGCAATTTTCTATAAAAGGTGTTACAATAACCCCTATGGTACTTGTGTAACTTCATATTTGAGAGCCAAGTGCACAAATAAAAAGTTTATAAGAATTACCCTGTTGTTCTGACTCTGATTCTTGTCCCCTAAAAACAAAGAAAAATCTGGGCCAAGTAAGCTTTTTTTTTTTTTTTTTTCCTTTTTGAGAATTCTAAACCAGTACAATGTTTGATACGAGTCCTGTTGTTCTGGAGATCGACTAAAATAAAAGCACAGTTATCGTTTAGCTTTGGTATATTCTGCGATACATTTAGACAAGTAGAATATATACCAACCCTTATATTTTCCAACCGTGAAGTTACAATGAGGGAGGAAGTAACTTATGAGAGAGAAAATATTACAGACACAGAATAAAATTTGAGACCCAGTTTATCTTTAATCCTCTGGGATAAGCTATGGAACAAGCAGTCTGAAGAGTGGACACTCAGTGTCATGAACGGTATGCATCAGTTTACAATAACATGGGCACAAAAGCGATTGTCGCCTTTAGGACACTAGGGCCATCTGAGTGTCTCACATCCATGCACGCCACGTTCGCTTCATGAATATGCCACAGGTTTGTAGCGGACGTTGCCATTTAATGCCTACAGAGCCTAAAGCTTCCAAAGTGCCTATCTGGCCTGTACATATTTCATTAAAAATAAACTCTATAGAATAAATAAATATATAAAATAAATAAAATGTTGCCTTTGGAATTTCTATAAATAAATTTAACTTTTTTTCTTTTTTTTTCTTTTTTTTTTTTAACTAAGAGGTCTTTGCTTTAAATTCACTGGGATGACACCCGTGACAATGAACCGAGAAAGTCTCGTCGGTCAGACCGCACCCTCCTGCCTGTGAAAATGCAGCGGGGCCCCCCTCGGGCCGCCAGCCAGATCCCGATGCGTCCAGGTGTGGCAGCTCTGCTGATGAGGATGAAGGACAAGAGATCGGACGGGAAAGCGCATCTATCCCCACATGCATCGGCTGGTCCTCTCTGCTCCCTCCTCTCTGCAGCCCCACTCACCCCCTCACCCTGCAGCCTCCTGCCCTCTGCTCACCACCCACCCGGCAGCAGTGGGCAGGGGGTCCCGAGAGAGGACGAGCCTGGAGAACAAAATCAGTATGTCCCCTCCACGCCTCCGTCAGACTATGCATGCGACAAAGTTTGGCAACAGTGGAGCTGATGTGATGACACAGCAAATCAATAAGAACCCACCGCGTGAAACCTTTATAGTGGTTACTTTTTAAGGGCTCAAGTGAAGAAACGGTCTTTGTCAACTTTGGCTTAGGATACCCTTATAGAGTTCGGGTACTTTGTCGGGGTCCACTGGTCTGGGTAAAAAATGTGTGAATTTCTGGTGCCGTTTAGTCCTCGTTCCTTCTCTGGGGGTCCCGTCCTTATTTAACGCGACATAGAACCGCCTTCCAGTGTCCACGTGTTTATACAGATTCGAGGAGTACGTGTTATACCAGTTTTCTTCAAACTGTTCTCTGAATACACACTCTTGGGTTAGTTTTTCCTGTTGAAAAACAAAAGCAAATATTTTGCAAAAATTAGCTACTTTCCGTACTGAAAGCAATTGCTACATAACATAACTGGTGACAAAATACCAATTTTAACCCACTTTAAGTGCACTTTGCAAAAACTGCTTACCTCTATAAATGTAACTACCTCCTAATTTTTTTTCATAATGATTAAAGCACAAAAGAGTCTAATTTTTTTCTAGTTAAACTTTTCCACATGCCAATTATCTGAATGAGTCAGTAGGCAAAGGCAGCTAACGCCATGAGCTGTTCCCATTTTCACCACAGCAATTAGGATGGTGACCATCCTGGGGGGAGGGCCTTTTCGAAGAAAGAGTCTCAGACGGCCGCTTCATCTTCAGCGTACTTTTCATAAAGTCCTCGCCACACAGACCAACATCACCAGCGACGTCAGAGATCTGCTGCCCTCTGAAGCAGTGGAGGTTATTCATTACACTAGAAGAGTGGTTTTCAGACTTCAGTGTGCAGAAGAATCACTTTGGGATGCTTTTTTTAAGTGTAAATTTCCAATCCCCAACCTTTTAAAATTCTGATCCAGAAAGTCTGGAAGTACGCATTTCCAACAGGCCTTGTGTAATTCCGATGCAGCCGGAGTCCACATTTTGAGATACGATGCTTTCTATCAGGTCTGGGTCTTCCTGAGTACAAAGAAGTAAAGACAAACATCCCAGCCCTCCTGTTTCCTTGAACTTAGAAGAACCACCACACACTCCCCCCAGTTTAAAAGCAGAAAGGTTCCACATCTCATAAATGTATTACCCTTCACCCTCCACCAGAGCTTTATGAGAGCCTGGGTTCCCTGGGACCCCATAACCTAGGGCCCCTGCAGCCGCGTGTCTCGAGGGCAGTAAGGACCAGAAGCGCTGCATACATCACGCCCCAAACCGTGAACGCATTCCAGGCACAAACACGTGCTTCTAGCCGCGCCTGGAGAAGCGAGGCAGTGGGGTGGATCAGCTCCTTGTTCTTCTTCTCACCACGCTGAAACTTTAACATCAGCGCCTTCCCAGATGGCAGTTAAAAAATAAACACTAAAACGGCTTCTGAAAACATTCCCCTTGCTCTTGCCCACCTGGCCCCTTATGTAAATAAGAAAACCTACAAATACATGTCCACGCAGTTACACACTTGAGGACACAACCTAGTGCACTGATTCACAGCCAGCCCGGCAGAAGGCATCATCTCCAGCTGCCGTGGTCGCGTCGGGAGAGCGAGGGTGGGGACAGGGGGCGTGTCAAGCTGAGGATGCTGAAAGCCCGCGGCCAGCGTGAGCTGGTTTCCCCACGTCACTCCTCCGTTCACGGAAGGCTTGAACCACCCAGAAACACAGGGGACCTGTACCTCCTGGGAGCTGCTCTTCTAGGTGAGGAGTCCCCAACCCCCGGCCACCGACCGATACCGGTACTGGTCCGCGGCCTGTCAGGAGCCAGGCTGCACAGCAGGAGGCGAGCGGTGGGCAACGAGCGAAGCTTCATCTGCCGCTGCCCATCGCGCCCCCCGCCCCCCCCACCCCCCTCGCTCGCATCACCTCCCGAACCATCGCCCCGCCCAATCCGTGGAAAAACTGTCTTCCACGAAACTGGTCCCTGGTGCCAAAAAGGTTGGGGACCGCTGCTCTAGGTGATCAAAATGTACTGAGCAGGTTGGTAACAAAATCTTATCTCCTTGGACCAGTCTCTGCTAAGTGAGCTGGAACAAGGGAAAGCAACAAAAGCAACCAAAAGCATCGAGCAGGACAGGATGATGGGGAAACTCCGGGCACCTGATGCCGGGTTTATAGGGACAAGGTGCGTCGCAGGGGGCGAGTGGCACCTGCAGCTCCCCTCACCTGGGCGCTAGCAGAGAAGCCCCTCACCTCCCTCCACGAGCAAACCTAGAGGAAACCCCCTATGCTGGGGAGACCAGGCTGAACGTGATTTCTGTTTCGTCTCCATTAAAGCGGACAAAATAAAAATAGTGTGTTAAAGATTTTAACAGCTATTTCAGACTTTACTTCCATCTGTACAATAAATATTCTCCCCACAGACAAGATTATTCCTGGCTTAAAATGTCTGGTTTGAGTTTGCAGTGAGTAAGTAAATTTTCTAAACAAGCAATGTTCATTTATTTTCTACTTATAAAGGTGGACGGAAGTAGGGAATTGTAGAGCCTTCAGTTCTACCAAGGAGATGAAAAAAGAATTCAAATTAAGCTTTCTTTTTCTCAGCAGGAAATCACTTTACCTGACAGATACTTGGTTTAAAAAATAAGGCTCGGGCTTCCCTGGTGGTGCAGTGGTTGAGAGTCCACCTGCCGACGCAGGGGACACGGGTTCGTGCCCCGGTCCGCGAAGATCCCACATGCCGCGGAGCGGCTGGGCCCGTGAGTCATGGCCGCTGAGCCTGCGCGTCGGGAGCCTGTGCTCCGCAACGGGAGAAGCCACAACAGTGAGAGGCCCGCGTACCGCAAAAAAAATAATAATAATAAGGCTCTCCCTCCTCCTTCTGGATCCCAAGGTCTGCCCCAGCTTCTATCTGCTTTGTATACAAGTCGCACCTGCAGGGTCTGCACACCATGAGGGGCCTGGCTTTGGAGCAACAGCCCCTGCTCCGGCAGCCTCACCTGGAGCAGGTCAGTGTCACACCTGAGGCGAGGCCATCACAGGTGCATGGCCGGCGATCGGCACCCGGAGCCAGGACACGCCCCCAGTCACCGTGGGGGCATGTCAGAACCATGAGTTCAGAACCTCTCAGAACTCGAGCCAACCTCAGCCAAAAGGTATTGCAACCTTCCCCGGAAAATGCCCGAGACAGGGGGGCCTGGAAGGAAGGTCACCTGCCCCAGACCCCGCACCTTCCACTTCTCACTAATGGAGGGTTCCTCCAGACACCCCGTCCGTCCAGGGACTTCCGAGGCCCCTTCCAAAGGGCCGGGAGGGGGGTCCACGGACCACGTTCCACAACTCGGTGCAGCCCCTCTGATTCTGACAATCACACGTGCTGCCTTTCTTCTTTACCTCAAAATGCAATTTTTTAAAAACACTATTCATTTTGCAGGAGGAACGGGTGGAGGTGGAGAGAAAACAGAGCGTATGCACAGAATTCTGCAGTGGGAAGGACACTGCATGCTAAGACTGAAACACTCATGAGTCCAGTATTGAAGATGAGCCTCAATTCACATGTTTTGGGGGTACTGTCAGTTTGCGGGGGGAAAAAAAAAAAACCTTTTTAAAAAAGTTGAACGAGGTAAGAAACTGAACTAACCTTTTCACTGCTCAGCAAACATGGCTCTGTTCCCCTTATGAGGCTGTTGTAACATCCTTTACACACACAATATAATGCTCTAGGCAATGCGGAAAATGAAGTGACTGTTCCACGTAGGACACTGTCATCTACAGACAGCAGCTTTTGTGATGGTTAAGAGTTCAGTCCTCTCCTTCACGGGAGGGTTGGATAACCTCAGTTAACTAGTTAAATGAGGCCGTGCAGACATTACCTTGCAAAACCCCTGATCCAGTTCAGTCCTGTAATTATTACACAAGGGGTATAACGCCACTCAGAAAAACCTGCAGACCTTAAAAAAAAAATTTAATTTAAATGATCATAAAAATTAAAGACCCTGATACCTTTCTATACCATGTATATGCTTTCAAATAATTTCTTCTTGCTATTTGTGATTTTTGTTTCAGACAAAGGTAGACAAAGCAACAAGATTTACAGAATTAATCTTTATGATTAGACTTTAGTACTTAGCGATAAAATATTTAGTTGAGGTGAATATATTTATGTTACATATTTGTACTCCAAAGTGATTTCTCTAAATTAAAAATAAGAAAGTGAATGCAAACTGCGACGGCAAAAAATATACATTAAGCTGTATTCTTATATATACACAGAGGAGAAAAAACAGTTTCTGCCTTCAAATAAACTATACACTTTAGAATTATAAAACTCAGATGTTTTAAAACTCACCACATGTTTCCAATGCAGACAGTTTATAGAGTATTCCACTATAAAGTGATCAATTCTTCTTTTATTGTATTTCCATGTTTTAATATTTTGGGGGGATTATTTAACTATAGCTGTTTATGGCATACCTATCTTTGAACTGCTGGATTATGTCACTCAGCTTGGGTGGAGAATGTGGATTTAATTCAAAAGTCTCCTAAAGCCCATGCTTTGGAACAAAATCTGGTGAATGTGAGCAGCTATGGAAACCCCTTTTCATTTTATATCATCAAATTCTGAGCAGTGGGAAAAACTGAAATTAAAACTTCAAAACTTTTACCAAAATCCTATTAAAACCAAAGTATGAGATAATAATGTGAAAATTATAGTATACCCCAGAGAATGTTTAGGAATGTTATACGACATCAACTCATATGGACACTAATCTTAACTATTTGACAATTGGAAAATGTGTAATCCACATGGGCGTTACCATGCCTGACTCCTATCTGTACCCATTTAAAAACTGAAATCAAAAGTTTTCAGAATTTGAGATTCAAGAGTCCTCCTTGAAAATGTATAGACTTATGCTGCCATACATATAAACATATGGTGTAGCTTTAACCACACCATCCAAATGGTTGTTTGTGTTCAACTCAACGGGTTGTTTGACCTCCCTGCATAAACTCACAACACATAAAGCCCAAGGTCAGAAACTGCCTTGATAGAGTTCCCGAACCTTTTGTAAGTTACTGATTTGATGTAATCGCTTGTTCTCTGCCTACCGTTTACCCCAGTCATGGTATTTAAACCTCCCTTAACTACAATTACTCGTAGAGATGTACCTTCCTCATTAATAATCTAGCAGTAAAGTCTTCATGGGAATTGTTGCAAGCATTGCGGTGATTAAATATAATGACGAAAGGATCATTAATAAGAAGCTAGGTATTTTAACGCTTCTCTCCTGGGAGAAGTCCCCAAACGGAAAGCCACAAACACACAGAACAGGCAGCAAGGCACTATTTCTCATTTTATTAGAAGCTCCCTTC